ACCTGCTGTATGTTCTGGATTTGACACCTGACTTTCACCTGTTTGGGCTGATGAAAGATGGACTGGGAGGGCAACATTTTCCTAGCAACAACACTGTCACAGCAGCTGTGAAACAGTGGGTCACCTCCACTGGTAAAAAAACATAGCTAGTAGCAGAGACTATGTTGAAAACTATTGGATTGTAGCTGAGAATTTGCCCTAATTAAATTGAGCTGTTGTAGTTTCCATGGAAATAAGTTGGAGGTATTACTTTCAGAGCAACCTGTGTATATGTATGGGCTACCTTTAATAACTCATGAGGATAATGTTTTGCAAACAGCAGAGGAAAAACAATAATCTTCTTAATTTATGGATTCAATATTAGTTATACTATCTACCATCTAATACATAGCACCATTCCAATGGCTGTTGGATAAGAAGTGGATGTAAAGCACAAAAAGTTTAGAAGATTTGTGACATTAAAACACCTGTCATACCAAAAGATGCCTTTGGTATCTTTTCTCCCCAGAGCTGTCAGCTGGTCAGGGAATTTAGGTAAGATTCTGAGTTGTTCTCAGGGTTGGGAGAGGGAAGGGATGAGGAAGCTTTTAATGTTTTTCAGTCTCTTTTGAAAGGTTTCTAAATATTTAGAGGGGGGATTTTTTTTTCCCATTACGTGAAAATGGATCGGCAGTCATATGCAACTTACACACTGCCAGGATTAGAAAACGAGCACTTGTGTGGCATGTGGAAAATGAATTAAGCAGGTCTAAAAGATGTAGACATAAAGTAAAACAGTTCACTGTAAAATAATTGTCTCCACTCCCTCTTTGTCTCTGATTCTGTCTCTGCCTCATTCAGACTCTCATTATGAAACACTAGCCAAAAAATTAGGAAAGAATTCTACTTTAAAAAGTACAACATATTGCATGTTGTTAATTTTTGAAATTTAACCAGCTTTTACTGTGCTGATTCTGTTAGTACAGTCAGACATGGAGTTACTTAAAAGTGTCACATTTTTCAAAAAAATCTAATTTGTTGTGTTTGCAATAGCAGCATTAACAACAGATGGACAAACTTCACTAGGTGTTTTAAAGATATACTCTTTGGTGCTGATATTATAGAGATTTGAACATATAGGAATGCACTCACGTTAAAATGTTATGTTCTGTTACTGAACCAATCACTACTGTGATGTTTTAAAAACACCAGGGCATAAAACTTCAAATACCCTGCAGTGCTATTTTATTGTAATCTGATTAGCACCTGTTTGCCTGCACTAATCCTACTTCAAACAGAAACATGTGCTTACTCCACTACCACTATCATTAGACCATACATTACAGGCTCTCTAATGCAGATTCATAGGATTTAAGACTGGTTTTTTCATTAAAGAAAAGCTTTTTTCTAGATCTGTTCTGCAAATCATTCCAAGGCAGCAGTTGCATTGTGATTTTACTAAACTATGTACAAAGGGAGTGATTAGATGAAAGCTTTTTCACTCATGTCCAACCCACAGCCTGTGGGCTGCATGTGGCTCAGCCCAGACTGTCTTACAGCAGCCCACAGCCCCACACTTTCATGGTGGTGGTTCTTCCCTACCGAACAGTCCAGACTGGCCCCAGGCACACACTCATTGCTCAGAAACATACAAATATTGTGTGATCAGGACTGTCTGTGATGAAACCAGGACATGGGAAATGGACAGTGCAGTGCTAACTCAAGTTATGGCAAATAAATATATGCTTTTAAATACACTGGCTAAATGCAGTCCTGTGAACAGAAAAAAAGTATGCATACGTGATTTCTGGACTGACAAAGGAATTTGAGAATAGATTTTAAGCTTGCTGAAAATATATATATATTTTTTGTTATGTTCACGATTCCATTTTCAGTCAAGATAAACACGTTACCTGAAAATTTTCAAAAGGAATGTGTATAGCAGTAATCAGATACTCAGTTCAAAAATTTCATCATGTTTCTTTATTAGAAGTTTTTGAGTTCAATCTTGCCAGAGAAAGACTTCCCTTGCTTCACAATCACTTGTTATTCATGTTATCATTTTCTGGAAGTATATACATATGTGTTTTCAAGGATGAAGCAAAGGAAGAGGAAAATTTCATCAAAAATTCCTGATGAGAATCTTGAGAATTCACTAAGAATTACAACCACTTCCACTGAGCAAGACTGATGAACTGGTTTCACAAAAGCATGGTCAAATATCCCACTATGTTTTTGTTTCTCTCTTATTTTTCTTGATGTTTTCACAAAAATAAATTTTGTTACTTATATACACACACTTTATATATACATATAAATATATATTATACATGGCCAAAGACAATTCAGTGCAGCCCAGGTAAGCCAAATATTGGGCCACTCATGTTTTAAATAGAACAGACTGTATTTGAAATAGTACCTACCTGTACCAGGTGTTTTCACCCAAGAAACAAGAGCTGACTGGAGAGATGTACATAAACCATAGTGCTGTAAGAATGCCTTCTATAACTTAATGATGAATTATCAACTATGTTCAAAAACTTTGCGCTGTCTGTGCTCAACAGAATAGAATTTTTTAAAGTATGGAGGAATAAATTTTCAATTTTTCATTAGTTTTCATTAGTTTTTCTGCTCACAAATTGTTGCTAGTGGATATATTCTGGATGAAATGTATGAAATGCCTAGAATCATGTCTCAAAAAATTGTACATAAGGCAAAGAACTTGGACAAATTTACTACCAGCTTATGCATTTTGTAGTGTATGAATACATGGATTAATAGGAAATAGGAAAAAAACTCTTCGACGGACAAAAAATTATAAACCAATTACCAATTTAACTGAATTAACATGAATAACCAATAACAGAGAAAAGAATGGCTTATTAATGTTACTAAATGATATATTTCTTTTAATCTTTCCAACTGTCTTGCTGTATGACTCTTAAAAACTTACTTAATTTGAATATTTTTGCACAGAGAGAATTTAGGTATTTATGCCTACCTATCCAGAGAGGTCATCTGAAATTGCCAATATGAATTCACCAAGTGCATATTGTGCCTGATCAATCTGGTGGCCTTTTTTGATGGAGTAATGATATCAATAGATGAAGAGCAACTGATATCATCAGTCTGGACTTCTGGAAGGCCTTTAATATAGTCCCACATGACATCCTTTTTTCTAAGCTGGGGAGATATGGATTTGAAGGGTGGACAATTCACCAATTTCCTTCCTAAATTGTAAACAGCTCTATCCAGGTGGAAGCCCATGACAGTTGGTGTTCCCCATGGTTCCATCTTGGGACTGATGCCCTTTAGCATGTTTATCAGTGACATAATATGAAGGGATTGAGTGCACCCTCGGCAACTTAACGGATGATGGTAAGCTGAATGGTTCAATTGATAAAATAGAAAGAAGAGATGTGATCAAATAAATCTGGAGTTTGAAAGGTGGGCTCGTGTGAGCCTAATGAGAGAATGAGGGAAAGATTGTTGATGTAGTCCACCTAGAATCAGCAAAGCCTTTGACACTGTCTCCCACAGTATTCTCCTGGAGAAGCTGGCAGGCTCTGGCTTGGACGGGTACACTCTTTTATGGGTAAAGAACAGGCTGGAGGGCCAGGCTCAGAAAGTGGTGGTGTATGGAATTAAATACAACTGGTGACTGGTCATGAGTTGTGATCCCCAGGGGTCAGTACTGGAGCCACTCCTGTTCAATATTTTTAGAGATAACCTGGAAAAGGGGGTTGAGTATACTAGCAAGTCTGCAAATGACACTGTGTTGGCAGGAAATGTTGATTTGCCTGAGGGTAGGGAGGCCCTACAGAAAGATCTGGACAGGCTAGATTGCTGGGCTGAGGTCAGTGAGATGAAGTTCAACAGACCAACTGCCGGGTTCTGTAATTTGGCCACAATAACCCCAGGCAACGCTACAAGCTTGGGGCGGAGTAGTTGGAAAACTGTGTGGAAGAAAGGACCTGAGGCTGTTGGTTGACACTCGGCAGTACATGAGCCAGCAGCGTGCTCAGTGGACAAGAGGGCCAGTGGCATCCTGGCTTGTACCAGAAACAGTGTTGCCAGCATGAGCTGGGAAGTGATTGTCCCTCTGCACTTAGTGCTAGTAAGGCTGCACATTGAGTAGTTTGTTGTTTTGCGTGCCTCACTACAAGGAAGACATCAAGGCTCTGAAGTGTGTCTAGAGAGGGCAATGAAGCTGGTGAGGGGTCTGGACCACAAGTCTTATAGGGAGTGGCTGAGAGAACTGGGATTGTTTAGTCTGGAAAAGAGGAGGCTCAGGGGAACTCTCTACAAGTACTTGAAAGTAGGTTGAGGCAAAGTGGGGGTCAGCCTCTTCTCCTGTGTAGCTAGTGATAGGATTAAATAGAATGATGTCAAAGTTGCACCAGCCTGTATTCAGGTTGGATGTTAGGAAAAAAATTGTTCTCCAAAAGAGTGGTTATGTGCTGGAACAGTGTGCCTGAGGAGGTACTGGAATCACTTTCCCTGGAGGTTTTCATGAAACATTTAGATGTCGTTCTAAGGCACATGGTTTAGAGAAGAAATATTTGTGGGAGCTGGATGGTTGGACTGAATGATCTTGGAGGTCTTTTCCAACCTTTGTGATTCTATGATCTTTAAGATTCCTTCCAACATAAACTATTCTATGATTCTATGGTAAAATGAAGTCTACAAAAATCAGTAATTTTATGAATTCACTTTGAATGCGACAGTGCAATAAGTTGTTAATTATTACAACATAGTCCTAATCTGAGTGGGTTATGACAGGTTATTTCTATCAGCATTTTTAAATGTATGCTGCTAATCTTAGTATGATTTTACATATTTCTAGCAGGTTTGCTCTTGTCAAATATTTCCAAAGATCCCCTTCTCCTTGTCTTCAATTTCCTTGCTAGAAAACCTTTAAGAGAATTTGATGTTCTCTTTAAAGTTCATTAATTCATCACTTGTAGTGTCCCAAATATTTTGCTAGTTGCTAACATCATAGGGCAATCATTTCCCAGGAACTGAGTTCAGTCTGTTCTCCATATATGGCTTTTGCCATTCCATGTCCTCACAGTTCTCAAGAAGTTAACCTTGAAAATAGATCAAAGTTTCTACCTATTTTCAGTAAAAGTTACAGTTTAACATTGTTAATTTTCATGTCATTTACTTTCCTTCACGATGTAAATCATAATTTCAAAAGCTGTTTTATTTTTCAGAACATGTTTTCTGCAGCCTCTTAAACCAGCAGGATCCTCTTTCCTTTTCATGCCATGATCTGTAAAATAGATACTTCTGTATCTACAGAGATACAGACTAAAGTCACCTGTTCACTCTGCAGAACCTCAGATATTCTAAAATTAATTTCCCTTGTACAAACCAAAGGAAATATTTTCAGCCCATCTAGCTTGGCAGTGCCATACTCTGTTCTATCATTTTCAGTGTAACTATATTTTTGACAAACTCTTTACAAGTGAAGATCATGTTTTCATCTGCAATAAACCAGAACGCAATAATCTTGACATTAAAGATATTCTGAGGTTACCTGCAATGCACTACCATCGGACCAGCATCAGGTGGGTTACAGGTCTTGACACGTCTCAGGAAAGCTAAGAATGGTGTTGGGTGTTCTGGAACACCATGGTCAGGCCAGGCAGTGAACTGGAATTGCCTCACTTCCCTTTTCTCACTTGAACCATTCTAAGAAATGAATAAAAAAGAAAAACAAAAAAACAAAAAAACAAACAAAAAAAACAACTTTATGACAAAATTGTCATTTTATGTGATATCAGCGCCATTAAGTGAAACACCTGGAGAAAAATACATACCAGAGAAGGCAATTTGAATCATATTTGGTACTGGAGAGAAACTGAACTCAGGCTATGTGGAGGAAAAAAAATTTCTTATATTCAGAATTGCATCACTAAAACAATGTAAGAGCTTTAATCATAATGTGCAGCAATTAATCACAAGAAGATCTCGTACTTCAGTTAATATTTCACTCAGTGAAGTTATGAATAAAGAGACTTCTGTATTAATCTACAAAACACCGTGTTGGAATACGAGTATATGCTGACAGTAGGAGTGTTTCATTGTTCAGTGTTGCTAAGGGTGAAAGAGAGAAGGAAGGGATGAGAATAACGAGAAGGAGAAAGAGAGGAGGGAAAGCAGGAAGAAAAAGGAAGGAGGAAGGAAGGGAGTAAGTGGAGGGAAGATAGAGATAAATAAGGAAAAAGAAGGAAAAGAAGAAGAGAAGGGAAGGGAAGGGAAGGGAAGGGAAGGGAAGGGAAGGGAAGGGAAGGGAAGGGAAGGGAAGGGAAGGGAAGGGAAAACGGAGAGGGAGAAGGAATAAAATAAATTGTATACCTTGTAAAGTGCAAATGTACGAACACAGTATGTTGCCAATTCAACCGTGTCTAAAAGGGTCACTTGGATGAGTCCATAAGTTTCTGTGCCTCTGCTTGGCCAGTACTGATCACACTTCACCTGTATTGAAAAACATACAGTTCTTTAATACTGTAAAACTGCTGTTTGTTGCATGCCAGAGTGTTTAGCACTGTAGGGTTTCAAAATGTAAGGAGTTAGAATGTTTAAAAACAGCTATGGATTCAATACAAGAAGCTTATTTCATTTTCCACAAGATCTGCTTTTCTGACAGTGGGGCTTCTAATATCTTCTTCTGCAATGGATATTTATGTATTCAGAGTTGTGGTGTGGATGGTCAAAAGTACAAATATATCTTGATACACTAAAGAGAAATTTATAATAATTTGTGATAAATAAATTTATAATAGATTTATAAATATATAAATTTATAATAGATAATTATAATTTATATATTAAAGTTATATATATATAATTGTACATAAATTTATAATAGACAATTTATAATAGATAAAAAATGACCTGATTGACTCCTCTTAAACAGAGTAGAATTGAATAACATATTAATCTAGTGAGTGTAGATACACTAGTTTTTGAATACTTGTCATATTTAATCTATTTTACGTCAGTCTCTAAACATAAAAAGTGTTCCTCTGATGCTAGTATGTTGGTTGCTCCAAACATAATGTCTCTATTTGTTTCCATGGAAAATAAAACAGATTCAAAGAGCACAATAACACTCTTTGATAGACCAAAATCTCATCTGTAAAACACTATTCTTCAACACATTGTTATTAGCTATGCGTTTTTGCCAGTGATGAACAAGAGCCTGCATACTGTGATTGTGAAAATATGCACAAGACGGCACACTGCTGCTGTTGCCACTGCTGAAATGCAGCACTCACTACCTCGCTGCACTTACACCCACTGTTTGGTTAACATTCAGCAAGTGTTCATATATGTCACTGGATGCAGTTTATTCTTTCTCTTGGTGGAATTCAGTGACACACTTTTGCTTCATATGCACAACCATGTTAGACACCATTTTGCCAGAATGCTCCTTTGTTGCCATCTGTCACATGGCAACACAATAATGTAAGATGGGAAGGCTCAACCTTTATTTCCATACCACCACTATCTGACTCTGACACTGTAGGCCAACATAACAAAATAGGAGGTATTATTTTTGAAGCAGCCCTTGTATGAAACACATTTAGCATGTTCAGAAATATCTCAATATAATATTGAATTTATCTGAGAAATAATTTTAGCACACAGATAAATAAATAAAGTACCAGCAACTGTTAAGTGCATTGTGAAAATACAATTTCCTTCTCAATTCAGTGTTATGATGCATAAAACAAAATTATGCTTGCAGGAACTTAAAAGATACGGTTTAAACAGATGATACGGTTTCATTCAACACATTTTAAAAGACATAGGACATTTCATTCAGAGAAATCTCCATTTTAAAACACTATAGATTGTATTAACAAGCTGAAATAATTCTAAGATAATGCAAAAAAAGAACATATGCTTACAATCTTTTTTGAGACTGAATATGATGTTTAGTATTTATGATGAAAGCTACTAAGAAAAAATGAATGCAAGATGTCTAATATATTTGAAGAAGGTGATACAAAATAGTATGGGGACTATACAAAAATATTTGTGTTTCACTGACAGATACATTACACTAAAAGTGTCATTCTGTCTGTAACAAATTCCTATTAATTAGCAGAGAAAAATGTATTTTCAGTTCAGTAATAATGCATTCTAGTTGTTCAATAAATGTTTTAATTAACCACTCTAAGCCAAATTCATATAAAATTTAATGTTAATAGACTAATCTGTAAGAAACAATGGAAGTAGAATATTGCACAGTATTTCTGATAAAAATATGAATTATCTTGCTAATCCCTGAAAAAAAAAAAAAACCCAACACCTGATGTTTCCTCAAAATTGAAAATGAGAAAAAAACATATTTTAAGCTTGTGTGTTCTCTAGCTTTCTCACTCTGCCCATTAGTTATTAAAAAAGACTAAGCACAATTTCAACTTCCCATCCCTAACTAGTTTTTCTTTCAAATTATTTTAGTTTGCGGATTAGAGAGCACAGATTAACGATGGTTAACAAATCACATTCTGGCAAGGATCTACAAAAAATAAAAATAAATACAATAATAAAAAATAAAAATAAATATAAAATAATAAAATAATAAAAAAAATAAAAATAAATACAAAAATTAAAAAAAAAATACAACAGGCAGTGAAGCAGATGATGAACATTAGTTAATTGTATCCGTAAAAAAAAGTTGTTTTTTTTTTTTTTTTACAGGATTTGATAGTTTAATTTATTGCTAAAGTTTGTTGATACTAATTTTGTCTTGAAAATGAGGTTAATAGTGTGTACACTATACAGGAATGTGCATATACAGGAATTAGGTATGTCCTTCCTTGTACCATCGACTGAAAGATCAATTTTTAAGTATATCATGAATATCAGTGATAAATTTTGCAGGACTCCTATCAGTAAAAAAAGCAACTGCAGCATACTCATTTCACTTTACCATTAATATAGATACTGTGTAACTTAGTTGTATTTTAGCTAGAAAAGTTGTGCTTTATTTTATCTCCTATAAGAAGACATCATATATATGTTTTTTAGCAGCCAACGCTCTTACTAGAACTAACTAGAAGAAACTTTGAAAGTGGTGTATTATAACACTTGCTAATGTGTTTCCATTTGAGACAGTATTGGGGAGATACTAAGAACAGACACTAGGAGTGTGATAATCTAACGTTAAACATTTACCCAGAAATTTGTAGAAAACTTATCCTTTTTAGTTAAAGTGGGAGAAAACTCATATGCCTGATCTTTTATAATCAGTCCATGCTTTTCATAATTTATTAGCTTTTCAAACATACACTCCATCAATTTTCCAATTTTTCTGGGATACTTTCTGTAATATCTAGCTGATACAGAACACTGTTCCTGGAAGATGGCTTATAAAATAAACACAATCTGTAGATCATTGTATGCATTATTTGAAAGTGGGAACTATGAAAATAAGTATCATTTTTTTAGAAAGAAAAACTGATTTTGGATTGATACAAATTTCATTTTCTGGAATAGCATATGAGATATTTGTTGATGGAATTATATTCTTATCCTTATTATATCTTATTGACTCTTGATTTTTCCCGGGACAAGAGGTCTTCAAGGATGTGTTCAAGGACTGAGGTATTCCTCTGCAGACTATGTACACCTGTACAGTGAGAGATTTTTTGCCATCTTGACTCTACAAGAAAATAGCTTTCCCCAGCAATTTTCTAATGCTCTCTTGCCTGTCACTGTAGTTGGCAAGAGTCACATAAGCATGAAAGAACTCACTGGAAATTTTGAAGAAAAATTAAATTACAAATAATGACAAGAATACCACTTACTACTACCTTTCCTATCTGATACTACCTAATTGCCATATATGAGTTCTCATGACTTCAGCTCTCAAAAGACATGTAAATATATTATAAAATCTTGTAAATACCATTATAGTAAACACAATTAGAAGACACAACTAACGATAACAACATTCTTGCAGCTTGCTTCTCAAACATACATATCTTTTCTTTCTTGACAACTCTTACATGCAGATCACCTTTACTTTCTGTGGAGGTTTGAGCATTCCCTGAAAGCAAAGGTGTAAGCAAAGTTAAATGCTTTCTTTTCTGTTAAGAATGAGAATGTAGAGACCATTTCAAACTTGAGGGGCTTAATTAGCTATGAGAGTCTTAAGAATGTTTGTGGATATTCATACTTTGACAAATTACAGACAACAGATGGTTGCATAAATAGAGCCGAAAAAAGGTTATTTCCATCTGGACATCTAAATACAAATAATCCTGACAGCCAAGGGTATAGAAATAGTATTCCAGTACAAAGTTCCATTAGTTCGACTGAAAAGTCCCTTCAGTTGAATCTTAACACATGAACTAACTGTTACAGACCATCTGAGATTATAAGGTCAAAATGCAGTTCATGGAAGAGAGAGTAAACTAATAATAGGCAGATTCATACAGTGTATTCCTTGTTGTATGAATAGCATATGAATTATGTTAAATCTGAAATAATAAATAGCAGTAACATGTGACAAACTTCTTCGTTTGGTTTTCATAATAATAATAGTCCTCTGCAGACAAAAATGTCAGAGGTCATTTTCAAAGTCTTTCTTCAAAAAGGAAATACCTCTATTTGCTGAAAGAAAATATCTCTTTAAAGGTTCTTTCCAACCCAAACCATTCTATGGTTCTATAACGCAAAGCATAATAGTATTAGTCCAATAGAAAAATAGTGCTGATAGCTGCTGATGAAAACTGGCTTAAATGCTAAAAGACTAGCTGGATGCCTCAGACACCTTCAGCTAACGCTCTGTCTGTAAGCAGTTGCTATTTAAAGTAATTGTGCTTTTCGCAACAATGCCATGACACATAAATATCAGGATGATCTGAGTCTAAATATCACAGACAATAACACTAGTGTGACAGACTGCAATGCAAGGATTCTACAAGAAAAAATGGAACAAAACACCCACATTTTGAAGGCCATTTTAGAATAAGATTTGGCAATGTGTCATCCATTCACTTTCATGGAACACTAAATGGCAGATTAAAATTTTAAAGTCCTGTGAGAAATATGGTTGAAGAAAAAACTGTCTATGGTTTCAGATTTTGGTTTGAAGAAGTACCAGATTTAATAGAGTTCTAATTTTTGAAGGAATTGAACACCTTTTCCCTGGAAGGCAGAACTTCCAAGCCTCACCAAGTGTGTTCCCAGAACAATTAACTGTTTCTAAATATTTTTGTTCTAAAAATCAATTTTTTTCCACTGCAGAACAGAGAACAATTGTATGTAGTGATCTCTAATATGGATTTATAGTGGAACCTGGTACCTGTAAGAGAGTATGTACAAGGATGTTACCCTACAAGCTGATTCATTATTAGCATTCACCTGACTTGAGTATTTGGGGTTTATAAACTGGACAGTTTTGCAGTGCAACACAGTTCTGTTAAAGGTCTTAACTACGTTAGCCTTGAAAAAAAGAC